ATGTTATTAAATCAACGCGACGCCTTTTCATTTCGATTAAATTCTCTGTGGTAATTTAGCTTTGCCTGAAAGTAAGCATTTTTACTTTCTTTTTTTTGTATTCGTTCATCTATTGGCAGACATATTCCATGGATTGCTATTTCCGTCAATCGTGGGTGGATAAACGTTTAGCCTTCAAGGGCGCACAGGATACATTGGCTTTGAGCGTTTCGATGTTGGCGCGCATTTGGAAACCCGACACTTACTTCTATAATGGCAAACAAAGTTATCTACACACCATTACGACACCAAATAAATTTGTGCGCATCTATCAGAATGGCAGGGTGTTATATTCGAGCAGGTGAGAGATATTATAATTATTATCACATTTATGTTTTTAAGCATTATTTGGAAATTGGAAATTACATAGTTAGAATAATATAATGATTTACATTAAATTTGCTGTTAAATATCAAAAACAAAGAGCATTTTGGGTAAGGCTTTTAATCGTCCTTTGATTCAGCTATAATTCACATCCATCGACTGCTATTTTTGAAAATAATCCCTTTATGGCTGGTTGATTGGCAGAAGCATCGCCTGAGTACTTTCTCAGAACCCACTTAGCGCTGAGAGCACCATTTTGATACGCTTTCTGTGAAACATTTGATAATAGATCCATTCAATAACTTTTCTAGTAAGTAATTGCAGCGAGAGCGTAAAAGAAAAATAGAGAGTGAAATTGAGAGAGAGAATTATCAGAAAAGTTATTGAACGCAAAGCTATTGAAAACGTGCAACTGACCCCATTTTGACACTTTTCGGAGGGGAAAGTTTTGACCCGCAATTTTCTTTTTGATTGGAACCATTTCTCATCGTCATAAAAACATATGTACATTAGATTTAAATTGTTCATCCATATTTTCATTTCACTCAAATCATCCTCTTAAACACGTTGTTAAAATTTGAATGTGAAACATAACCTTACCTTTTGACACCAGCAAATTCTCGCTAGTAAAATTTTTAATTGCAAGTATTTGCGGCCCTCTCGCGTTTTTATGCACTCGAATTTGCTCGCTCTTGTAAATAATAAATAAAAAACTTGCAAGTAATAGTAACAATTCATACACATTTTTTGATATTGAATGGACCTATTATCTGCTCTCATGATTTGTCAGTTTGTCGATGAATCCATTTATGTTAGAAATGAAGCATTTGTAAATCTGCTGGGCACTCACAAGGATAATGTTGAACCGTTGCAGCAACGGCGCTGTTGGTTGTACGGAGGTAAATTTTGGTTGCATGTCCACCAATGGGCCAATCTCATAGTAGCTGTTAATCTGACTTTATCTTTCCTCGGCTTCTTTAAAAGTTCCTCTGTCCTTGGGTTGTCATGATTCGGCCTATATTTCTAGCAGGTTTGAATGTTGTGCCATACGTGCAAATTGCAAATACAGTTCCCATTTCATGAGTCGGGGTATACGGTTTATTGTCTCTACTTCCGATTCAGCTAAGAGATGTTCCGGCCTTAAATATCAAGATTTTTATTTTTATAATATTGTAAAAACGTTGTTATTTCGATTTTTATTTTTCCGATATAATCTGGATTTCCATATTTTCGATCAAATGCAATCGTTATTTTGTGATTTTGAATTTTTGTATCAAATATAATTATTTATTTTATAATTATGATGATTTCTAAAATCACACTGCGGTTTTTCAGTCTTCGAGCTTATTAAAATTAATTGATTATAAAATTGAAATTATATATCCTGCGATCATTTATTGTATTCATATTTGGATTTAAAAAAGTTTATAATAACAACAAGAAGTAATCCAGCTTAATAAAATATTTTAGCATTTGGAAAAGCCAGTTTCAAACCACTAATTTGCTTTAGCAGACATCTTTGTAGCGCCTCCATTCGCTGCCAACACCTTTTCTGTAGTGCTCGCGCGTTCACCCGCTACGGTTGTCACTTTCGAAATCGCCTTATTAGCTGCGCACAGCCAAGACTTGCTTCTGCACTTCACTGTCAAGACCACGTACAGTCAGAGCTTCGTTGCTGCTTGGTTGATTGTTTTGCATCGCTTGGTACTTTCACTTCCACCGACAACTTCAACTTGGGCACTGAGAGCGCCAGTACGCAGAGGAGGGCTGAAAGAAAAGTTTATAAGGAATGTGGTTTCTTTATGCTCGAGAATCCTTGAATATTTAAGTAGTACCCACCAGCGGCGAAAATCACTAAGGCCTTCATGTTGCTTAACTTATGTTGCTTTGCCTTAGTTACATATGTCTTCTGTCCTGACTTTGAACCTTTTTATACACAACTTCGCTGAACCTCTGCCTGGTTCGAATCGATTGGCTCGATAAAAATAAAATTAATTTGAATGGTATGGCAGTTTATAATAAGCATTCGTTTGACTAATTAATATAGTCACAAGCCTATTTTCCAATGCTTCATCATACATACCCTGCAGGGAGTGACGATAGCTTATACCTAACTTTAGTCTGTTTACGCGAACACTAATGCTAACTATTAACTGTGTATTTTGTTCGAAAAAAGCTAACTACTTTTGTGGGGCGATGGCCGCAAAAAAGTCAGACCTGGATACCTCTGCATTACATGTCAACTAACTTGTAACTAACTACTTTTGGACATAAAATATCAATAAGAAAAACAAAATATTTTTTTGTTTTTTTATTTTTTTATTTACTTTTTTATTTACTTTATTTTATTACATTTCATATTTGTTTACATATTCTGCTCTGGGTGGCCCCATATTCGAACACCGTCAGACATAACTTCAAAATGATAGTATAAAATTTCGATCTTCCTTTTATTTGTCCTGAATATGAAAAAGAATCTGCGAAGTTCAGAAAAAAAGTGTATTGAAAGTAATTTTTGTATGAGGATATTTAATAGAAACTTGTAAAGAAAACCAACTCCCGATTGCGTCTGCATGACTCCTGCACGACTTTACAATTCACTTTAAGTTGGTTTTGTCATAGCTAATTAAAAGTGAGGTATTAATCGAAATCTCGCCAAAAAGCTAAGTATAAGTTGGTTAGTTTTAACAATTGATAACTTTTCACTGCAGGGTACATATGTAGCACCTAATAAAGTGACTCAAATCGACGGCTGCATAATTGTCCTGTTAACAAATTCCCGTTCGTACCACTAAGTTCTATTTCCAGAAAGTATGTCAAGTTCCCAAGTAACACAAGCATTTGGACGTCTGGAACAATTTCATTAACAATGAATGCACCGGCGCGACGTTTCCATATTCGTGAACTCATTTGAAAAAAAAAGTTCACAAACGAGTTCAAAAAAGAGACTGCAACACATTAACCAAATTAAGTAAGACGACGGGAAGATATGACGCATACGCTGCCAATGATAATGAGAAGCTTTTAGTAAATAAAAAAAATCAATAGCTGTGACTCTCCGTTATTCGTGTGAACATGTACATATGTGATTGAAGAAAAAAAGGTGTGTGCTAAAATTTTGGAGTGATGCGTGTAAGAAAACAGCAATGCAATGAAGAGGTCGAAAGGAAGAAGTGAAACTGTTTTCACCAGTCACGCTTTATTAAGTTAAGTTACAATTAAAAGGTGGGGCAATTGCGCTAGTGATTATGTAATAGTCTCACCAAGAGATTCGAAGTGAGTAAACTTTCATCAAAGTTTGTATATAAAAAGATTCAAAGTGAAAACAGAAGACATAACTAAACCAAACGTTAACCGAGAAACATGAAGACTCTAGTGATTTTCGCCACTGGTAAGTACTACACCCAAGGATTCTGAATTATACCAAATTAACAAATACTCCTTGTAGCTATCCTCAGTGTACATGCGCTCGCCGTACCCAAGCTTACTTCCACTTCATCCGAATCCAGCGAGGAGGAACACCGCGTCATTTTACCTGCTGGTGATAAACGTCCTGTCGGCTTAGCCGGCGTTGGTGCCGCTGCTAGTCCACCTGATTTGAAATCTGTCGAGGTTAAAGTGCCAAGCAATGCAAAGCCATCAACCAAGCAGCAGTTTATCTCCGAAGCTCTGAAGGCACCGGGCATAGGCAGTGAAGCCCAAAAACGAGCCTTAGTGCGTAATAGACGTCAATTGTCTGGTCCAACCGCAGCAGGGAAAACGTCACCGGAAATTACAACGGTAGCCAGCGAAAGCGCAAGTAGTACAGTGAAGGCGGTGTCAGCAGTTGGGGGCGTGACAAAGGCACCTGCTTCGGCCGCAGCTGCTGTTGGCACTAAGTCAAATAAGTGACTTGAAACGTAGGATTTCAGAAGGATAAAAGCACGTATTTAGTATTGTATTTTCTATGAAATGTGTGATAATTTTTTTGTTACTATTACAACGGAAGTGTTTTACTCAATCTGTAATACTTTTGATTTTTGCTGTTGGTTTTGTAATTGAAATAAAAGTTCCAACATTATCCTGTAAAATATGATTTTTCCTTGCAAAAACTTGGTAACCTTTCGCTTGTAAAAGGCTAGGGCTTCAAAAAGATTCTGTCCAGTTTAGTGTGAACACGCGCACTCCATGATTCCGTAAAGAAGCGAGTATTCGAAGACAAAATATGCTACTTTATCAAATAATGTGGTATGTGCGACCTTTCTTATTATCCTGGTAAGTCGGAATGGATAACATTGGCAACTCATGGTCTTATCGTCTGTGTACACAGTGGGTTCCTAGCTGCCCGGCCGGAAATTCTCTAGGCAAAGCCCTGAGCCCATCTAGAGCCTGGCTCGATTTCCGTTACTGAGATTTTTTCGACAGCGCCAGACAGCTTCTGGCAAGGAAATCCCTTCTACAGATAATCTATTCCGGCGCTTAATAGGTTTTCTTTGCGATGTTCTCACCCAATAGTATCTGGACAAGGCCTAGCATACAAAAATTAATCAGAGATAATCACTTCTGGCACTGAACAGATTCTCTCAATAACGGTTATCTCTCGTAGTGCCTGGACCGGCACTACCACGCAATATCTTGACTTGGGTAGGTAGATAGATTTTATCTAGTACGTTTACGTTACGCCTTATAAGGGTAACCTTGACGGGCTCTAGATAGGTAGTCCTGAAACAAGTGCATCTTCTTAGAACCTGGACTGGCTCCAGAATAATAGTTTGAGATAACCACTTTTGGTGTTGGGAAGATTTTCTTAACTGATATACTTTTTAGCAGTGCCTGGACTGGCTATATTCTAAAAAATCCCGTTGCTGGCAATTTTTTTCTGACAATGGTTTTCATGATACCACCATGAAAAGCTCTGGCAAGCGACAACCATACATTAATAAACTATCAGGACACTGAGTATTTTCTCCGAAGCTAGACTTTCAGTACCAGAGGTTAGGCTGGATGTAGCATACAACAACTGGTCAGAGCTTTGCCTTGATACATCAATGTTTTTGAAAACTGACTGCAAAATAGAGGAGTGGCCAAAAAATTTAAATGGCTCTAAAAATTTCCGTTAGAACCACAATTTTTTCAGTTACAGTAATTAATTTGAAAGTTTGTACAATTTTGCTTATGACATATTTTGCTGTGAAAAAATATCTGAAAAATGCCAAGCAAATCAATATATGCCCTTCTATGTATCAAATCAAAGAAATACATCGATGTATTTTTGCCACTGACATGCCTACTAGCGCCTTGAAAGTTTTCCTTGTCGAATGCTAGACGGAAGAAAGCAAATCGGACCAGCGTCAGTGCTATTAGCGGCGATGCGGTAATTTAACCACCAAGTACGGATACTAACGTTCAAGCATAGCTCGGTTGTGGTCCGGAAATGGCTTTCCCTCTGCGTAGGCGAAACCCTCGAAACCCCTTGTTTTCAATATCACAGAGTTGTAGAATTTGTAAGATGTAAGGCTGCCAAGTGCTTGCAATATTATTGTAACAAAAAAAAACGTTTTTTTAAAATAAAATAATCAGTATTAAAAATTAGAAAAAAAAAACAATAAAAAATAAACAATCAATAAGTTTAAAGAAGTCCTTCGCCATGCCTTCTAAATCCTATGTTTCAAGTCACTTATTTGCCTTACTGGTGACAGTTTAGCCTTGCGACCACAGTATGCGCCTTTCCAAGCCTTCCAGTCGCTGGCATCATCTTTTCTGCAGTACTCGCGCGTTCACCCGCTACAGTTGTAACATTCGTATTATTTTTATTGGCTGCGCTCGCAACAGGCGCCTGACGTCTATCACGCACGACCAAAACTTGTTTCTGCGCTTCAATGTCAATACCACGTGCGGTCAGAGCTTCGGAGATTAACTCCTGTTTGGTTGATGGTTTTGCATCGCTTGGTACTTTCACTTCGACCAATTTTAAATCAGGTGGACTACCACCGACTCCAACGCCTTCTAAGCTGACAGGACGTTTATCACCAGCAGGTAAAATGACGCGATATTCCTCCTCGCTGGATTCGGATGAAGTGGTGTTCAACTTGGGTACTGAGAGCGCTTGTACGCAGAGGAGAGCTGAAAGAAAAGTTTGTAAGGAATGTGGTTTCCTTATCTCCGAGAATCCTTGAATGAGTAGTACTCACCAGCGACGAAAATGACTAAGGTATTCATATTGCTCGATTTAAGTTTGACTTAGTTATGTCTCCTACACCGAAAATGAACCTTTTTATATGTGTACTTTGACTGAAACTCTGGTTGGTTGGGATTGATTGGCTCGTTAAAAAATAATATTAATTTGTATTTTGTGGCAATTAATAATGAGCTTGCGTATGACTAATGTAGTCACAAGCCCATTTTCCAATACTTTTCCATACATATACAGCCGCTAACAAAGTGACTCAAAGCGGCACGCGGCGGCTGCATAATTTTCCCGTTAACGAATTCCCAACTCCCGTTCGTGCCACTAAGTTCCGTTTCCTGAAAGTATGTATGTTAAGTACTCATGTAACGCAAACGTCTGGATGTCTGGATCAATTTCAATAACAAGCCGAATGTGCCGGCGCGACATTTCCATATTCATGAACTCGTTTAAAAAAAGGTGAACAACGAGTTCAAAAAAGAAGCTGCAACACATAACCAAATTAAGTAAGTTGATGGGAAGATATGACGCAAACGCAGCCAGTGATAATGAGACGCTTTGGAGTAAATAAAAAAATCAATAGCTGTGACTCTCAGTTATTTGTGTGAATACGTAGGTATGTAGTATGTGATCGAAGAGAAAATGCGTGAGCTCGAATTTTGGACTGGTGAGTGTAAGAAACCAGTAATCCAATGAAGAGGCCGAAAGGAAGAAGTAAAAGTATTTTCGCCAGTCACGCTTTCTTAAGTTAAGATACAATCAAAATGTGACGCCAATGCACAGTGGTTCAAAATTGGCATTTTGTGTTCACAATTCACTGGAGCCTTTATTTTTCACTCAATTTGATTAATTTTTTTTTAAAGGTAGCTAATAAAGTTTTCAAGAGACCAATTGAGCCCAATTTTTGAATTTTTGTTTGTTTGTATTAAATTTTTAGTGCAAAGTGCAGAAAAAATTGCAATTTTGAAGAAACAGGAGAATCGATTTTGTAGTTAATAAACGATACTTAATAAAAACTAGTTGATAAACATTTATGGTTCCCTCAAACGAAAAAAAAAAAAATTCACAAAAAAAAATTTGAAATTTTATAAAAATTAATGTTCATCAAAATTAAAAAAAAAAAAAAATTGTTTCTACAAAAATTTTAAGCATGCAGTTTTATAGATCATTATAGTTTAGTATAATAAAGTGCAATCTGCAAGTGGCTAAGAGATCGCCACTTATCAGACGGAACTGTAACACCAAACTGCCCATTCACACAGGAATTACCGCTATCTTCTGCCTCTTGTTGGTCGCTGCTATTTTGGGAACTAGAAAGTGTGGTTAATTTTCTTTTTCAGCTGTTTGCAAGTTAGCCGTCTAACTTACACGGCTCTCCATTTCCGTATGACCCTAATATAAAAATCTAAAATCCGCAGATTCTTGAGTTACTTACATATAACAGATTAAGTTACGTAAATTAAGTCTATGCTATGAAATCACGATTGATAGGTTTCGGCGCTCTAGACACATTAAACATCAAAAACATTCAATGTGCCTTGGTTGTAATTTTCTCCCTATCTCCGTTTGCCAAATTGGTTTCTTTAATTTTTATTTATTTTCCATTCAATTTTAGATTAACAATCAAAGCTGGCTGTCCAATGAATTTAGAAGACTTTCCTATGGATATACAAAAGTGTCCACTAAAGTTTGGCTCATGTAAGTGAAATGAAAACTGCCAAAAACTTGTAAACAACTTATGAAAGTTCAACATCAAACCAACGTAAATATAAAGTAAATGCAATTGAGACTTCGTACGTGTACTTTATATGTACGTACATACATACAAATGTACATACATATGTACATCCACTCTTATGAGCACACAAACAAGCAAACAAAATAATTTCTTTCATAATTTTCTTAAACTTATGCAAGTGAGATTTTTGAGTTACGGAACGCTAAGGGACATACACACACACGTAATATATGTACACTAGGGTGGTAAAAAAAAAATTAATGTTAGCTTTCAACCTCTAGGATTTTTCTTAATGGAAAATATCACTGGTCGACGGCCAAAATTTACCAGAGACGCCGTTATGAACGGCGTTTCTGGTAAAGAGAAAAAGTTGAAATTTGTGGTCCAGTGTATCATACTCGAATCTTTTTGTTAAAAAAAATGTTTTTAGAACTGACTCAAAACCCATGCGGCTGTCCACATATTTTATATGGGGAAAAAACACATTTTCTTAGAAATGGTATAGAATTCCTAAAGATCGATAAATTTTCGATCGGAAAACTCGGTCTCTTATCAGGAGAACTCCAATAATAATACCCAAATGTTTATTTAGTACTTATGGGTCCTTGTTGAATTTTTTGGGGTTTTTGGTTAATATAAATTTTTTTTTTTAATTAAAAATTGGGTATTGTTATTGGAAGTCTCCTGAAGAGAAACAGAGTTTTCCGATCGAAAAATATTGATTTTAAAGAATTCTATACCTTTTCTATGAAATATTGTTTCTTCCCTTCATAGAACACGTGGAAAACTTCATGGTCTTTGAGGCAGTTCTATACGTCATTTAAAAACAAAAACATCCTAGGGGGTGAGAGCTTAAAATTTTAAATTTTTTCCCCCCGCTTGTATTTTTGGACCGCCCTAATATGCACTTGTGCATAAGCATGTGTGTATAATTGTGTAGCTATTTTTATTACCTATTGACCTTGATGACTCAAAGTCGCAAATAAGCTTATGTGAGCGGAGGACACAACAAATAGGCGCTTGTAGTCGGCGGTCCGCTTGTATTAATGCGATCTAACTACTTATAAATGCAATTCAACGAAATACTTATGAATTTCATACATACATATATTAAGATTTACCAGGAATGCACAGCGTATTACTGTATACTCAAAAGCAAGCTTGCAAACACCCTGAATGCTTATCGCTTTGCGCTACTTTACTGCCAGCTTTCTTATTTTTTTTTATTTGCATACTTTACTAGGCTGCTGTGATTTGTGATATTAAAATGATTTAAATAGCTCTTATGCTGCCCACTCGTCCTTATAAATGTCCTTATACTTATTCACATGTAAATACATGTACATACATATACATATGTATGTATACGTAGTTAGCAGCAACGCAAAATACGCCACAAAAAGGCAAATGGGTAGACCAAAAAAGGGGCTAGTAAAAGCGCAGCGCGCAACTATGGAAACAAGTTAAGCTGTTGTTAGCCGTTTGTAGTTCATTTATTCGCTGCTTATTCGTTTATAGCGGCAAAAGCAATGAATGTATACAGACGGCTACATACAGTACATGCATTGTATAAGAAATTGTTTGTTGCACCCCAAGTACATAATCATTATTGTTTGTTGCATGCGCCATAGGCGGTTGAGGGGTCGGTGTAGGTGCGCTCTGGTGCATTGGCTTAGTTTTCTCGCATAGCAGCTTTTCTAATGAATATGTCTGCCCGCCTATTCGACATTCAAACGCATTCAAGGCTTTAATTGATTGCATGCTGTGGTAGGAATTTAAGATGATTTGAAGGAAATTTGAGATTTCGTGTCTAACATAAATATTTTAAAAATTTCTTGGAAGAGGATAATATACAGATGTAACTCAAAATTTATGTTTTTGGAGATTTCATCACACAATAAATAAACTTGATAAGGAGAATATGTTCACCCTAACAGATAACTAAACTTCCCAAAAATGACTAAGATATGTGACTTTCCATCTGTCTTTTGGTATACCAACTGTATGAATTGAACAAAATTTGATTGCGTTTTCCCACAAAATTGAAATTTTGAAATAATTCTGTATATTATTTAACGTGCGATATAATAAACAAGTCGTTTTAATAGCAATTAGTGCTTTCAGAAATTTTTCTTAACAAATAGTTTTTTGACATTTTTCTCAGCTTCCGCTTTGTCGGCAATACCAATTCAAATATATTCCCATCCGGAACGCAAACCAAGTAAACTTTACATACTTTTTCTGTCTCTGACTCATTCTAATTTTTTTGTTAGTGATCCCCGAGTCAAAAATGCTGCTTGGCTATCTGAACAATGGCTGGTTTTGAGCTCCTTTGCAGTTTTTATTTATACCTTACTAATCGTCTTGATCTGTAGTATTTTTTTCTGAAATTTTAGTTGCCGGAACGAGAGAGAATATATGAAAGTAGAGTTCTCCTCGATCCCCCAAAAACTGGGGTAGTAGACACCTTTACTCACTAGGCTATGGCTGCCATAAGGAAACTTCAATTTAAACTGTTGCCCCTAATAATTCCAGAAGGATTCTTGTGGGTAAATTGTGTTGTAGGTAAATTTTTGAATGCGGAAATCTTCTTCAATTATTTACATTAGGTGCCCCATATATTTTTTAGGTCTGAATTGGAGTATAATTTTTAGTTGTTCTATCTTATGCCGAATTTCCACTAGGTATTGAAATTACCAAAAATGTATACCATTTAAAAAATGCTATGTGGAAATGTGAATATTTTTATGAACGTAATGGCACGGAAATTTTGAACGCCCAACGTTGTCATTAAGAATGTTGTCATTTAATGCCTAGTGGAAATTTACTATTACTCATCCATATTCGACTCTACGTATTTTTTCAGATATATATATGCACATGACTAACGAGCTCAGATCAAAGAAAATATTTAATGTTTCTAAAAAGCACTTTGTATAGTTTAAAAATTCTTTGTTTGATCAGCAGCTAACTTCATATAGGCATTTTAAAACCAAATATCTTTTTAGTATTTTTTATATTCAATCACAGAAAAATTCAGCATCTACAGCATTTTTAACGTCTTTCAAGCTAATTGCATTCATTAAACATGATTTATATTCGCATAAAATCGATTTTTTTTTGCATTTCAATTTGCACTTTTGATTTTTGAGACGTACCACCAGTCGTATACGTAACATCATTAAAAATCAATTTACACATTACACGTCAAATAGACGTGCGTAGAACTGATCACTAAGTATGCGTACATACTATATATATGTACAAATGTATTGTAATGTATGCATATCCGCATAGTAAACCTCAATGTGACACAATTTGAAAGCCGCAGAAATAAATATAGTACATACATATGTATTTAAATGTGCACATACATATGTACTTCGCCGCACCGTCAATATACTATATAGCTATATCTGCGTAACAGATGTAAACAGTGAATATTTAAAAGAGAATTTTGAGTATAGATGGTCTAGTATAGTTATGTGGAGTTTAGGCCAAAAATAGGCTTTGCACATAAATTTGTACCATCTTACTAACAAAGACCATTGGAGTAGTACCCAAGTATATGTATAAGTACACAAGCTGCATCAGTTTGGGACCTGCTCCAATGCTCTAACCGGTGTTACCTAAAATACTGAATATACATATTTTACCCCTGACTCGTTTGTTATCCGGTCCAATAGTCCAAAATGCCAGACTACTAAATATAAATAACCCCAAGTGTTTCTATAGTAGTTCGGAACATAGACAAAGAATGTAGTACGTTTTACCACCTTGTCTTCATCACGACATCTCCTACAGAGAAAATTACTTGATATGCGCCATCATATGTGCATTGGTGTAATACGAAAATAAACTTTGATAATCCCGGTAAGAGCTCTTATTGCAGGTTCTTTTAATTTCAGAAGATCTTTCACATTCTTCCTATTTTACGTCGACCATAATGACAGTAAAATTTTAATCCATAAGTTAATATTTTAGTCCATAGGTTATTATTGGCATTAATCAATGCAGAGGTTCTTCGCATAGATCTCAGCTTGGAAGGAGATACAGATGTTTTGTCGAGAATTTCTAACTGATCCATAGGTCCCTCTAAAAAAAGAGAGCCAAGTCCTTGGTAATACTACTATCTAGCATTGGTAGATACGTGTCCGATTTTTATTTATAATTTAGACTGTTTTCTCAACTTCGAATTTACTAACTCGCCTCTCTACAGGTCATTTTGTTGTTATAATTAGCTGCTAGATGTTTCTTAAATCTCTTCCCAATTTTTCTTCCTCATTTTTATACCCGAGCGCACTTTTTCACAAGGTTATTATAACTTTGTTCGTATAACGGTTGTTTGTAACAGCCTAAAGAAATCGAGATAGATACAGACAAATGTTGGTAGGTTGCTATTGAAAATGGGCGAAGTCGGACTATAACCACGCCCCCTTCCCTTATAACGGTATTTTCGACAAATGTTAAAACTACGACATTTCAGTAAATCTTGCATCCAATTTGTTTAAAATTAGTGCGTGAATTAGAATTTTGGTGTAAAATAAAATTATTATGAAATTTTTGGAAAAATGGGCACGGCCCCGCCCACTTATGATGAAATGCTGTACCTCAGTAGCCGCTTCACTAATCCTCGGTGAAGGTTTGCTTAGAATCCAGCTAAAAAATCTCTTGAAAATCTTATAAATCGGACAATAACCGCGCTCAGCTCCCATATAACGGTAATTTACAGTAGAACGAAAACTGAGATAAATCAGTAATTACCAAAGCTAATTGACTCCAAATCGATCACTGCAGTAACCACTTAGCAGAAAATTAGATTATCATAAATTTTGGATTTTGGGCGCCCACCTATGACCAAAAAAGCGTGTCTCTCGCTAACGGATTTATAAATTTCTACCAAACTCGGTGCACTTAGTATCCGTGGTACGAAAAAGCAATTCGTTGAAAATCATTCAAA